GGAAGGGAGCAGGAGTGAAAGAGAGAGAAACATTGATCAGCTGCCTCCTGCATGCCCCCTACTGGGGATCGAGCCCACAACCCATGCATATGCCCTTGACCGAAATTGAACCCAGGACCCTTCAGTCCACAGGTCGACGCTCTACCCACTAAGCCAAACCAGCTACGGCATTTTCTCTTTTTAACAAGATTAATAATAACAGCTATCATTTTATTCATGATATTTTAATGTGCAGTCTCATGACAACCATGGGAAGTAGATATTATGCCCATTTTTCAGAGAAAAAGAAGTAGGAGCTCAGAGTACCTATGTTTATACTACATTTCTAGAGCTGGCAACCCAAATCCTATGCTTTAAATCATCACATTATTCCATTTTTCAAAAGCATAACCTTTTCAAATCCTAGTATTAAAAAAAAAAAAAAATCCTAAGTAGTTTCATATTTGTAGATGAAAACTGCTATGTACCTAATTCATCTGAACACTTTATAAAATTGTTTGTCTAAAAGAGACTGGCAGCATTAATATTTAGTTATATTGCTAATTAACCTTCAACTATTTGTATAGTACATAAGAACTTCCTTTCTTTCTATTCTACTTGTGCAAACTGAGAAATCATAAGACTATGTATGCAATCCATCATTAAGGAGTGTGCTGACACTGAGAGTAATGAAGCAAGATCCACAACATGAAAAAAGAGGGATAGCCTATACACACAGTATTATCCTCACATACCCCAGTTTTTATAAAATGAATAGGGAAAAGGCTTTCAAAATTGGTCCTCTTTATCTACTGCAGGGTCCCACTGTCACAGACAGAGTGACCCAAATAAAAGATTTTGTCTCTTATACAAACATTTGTCCCTTCCTTTCTATTCCTATTACCACTTCTAGCCTGGTCTCCCTGCCTCCAGACCAGACCCCACCAACTCTAGTAAACACTGTAAACCTCAATATTATGAAATAATCTCCATAAAATACCATCTGAGTTTGTCAGCCAACAGGACTTAAGGCTATCCCACAATAAGGCTGGTCTCTTAATTTTTCAAAACTTTTTCTTATTACCAGGCCCACACTAAACCTCTTCAAACTAATATAAACTCCAAATAATCTCTTCACTGCACTCCCACCATCAAGTCCATTCCTGCTTCTGCATCTCTGCTCATTCTGAATCCCAGTCTTAAGTAGCTTCCCCTTTCCTCTCTGTCTTAATAATTATTCCACATAACCCTCATTCAGCCCTAGACTACTTTGAGGTATTGCTTAAATCTTTATGTGGGTTAGGACTTTCTTCCCAGAGGGCAGGGAACATGAGTTATGCTGCAAAACGTCAAGCTCCAGATCAGAGGTTGCAAAAAGGTAACCCACAGGACAAATTTAGCCCACAGTGGTGATTTGTTTGGCCCACAGTGTTTATATTATGAATTCATAAGTTGCCAACATTTAAAAATAAAGATTTCTCACAAAATCTGGATTTCCAGCCCTCGCCGGTTTGGTTCAGTGGACAGAACGTAGGCCCGCAGACTGAAGGGTCCCAGGTTAAATTCCAGTCAAGGGAATGCACCTCAGTACCTCGGTCACAAGTTCCCCCTGCCCTAGTCAGGTTGCATGCAGGAGGCAACCAACTGATGTGAGACACATCAATGTTTCTCTCTGTCCCTCCCTTGCTCTTCCATTCTCTCTAAAAATCAATGAGAAAATATCCTCGGGTGAGGATTAACCTAAATAAATAAATAAATAACAAAATGAAAAATATATATCTTTTTTTAAAATCTGGATTTCCAGTTTCTCTTTAGAAAAAAGTTAAGATGTTCAGACCACATTTGGTCTACACTTCCCACTAGCATCAATAGTGAACCAAGCACTGAATTATATATATATATTTTTGAATTATATATTTTTAAATGATTAAAATGGTAAATTTTACCTCAATTTAAAAACAAAGAAGTTAAGCAACTTAGTCAAAGTCATATTGCCAAAATTCAAATCAGACGATCTAATTCTAGTACACACTGTTAACCCCTAAAATATGATTCCTTTATGGACTAGCATCCTTTCTTCTGTGACCAACTAAACTGATTCTCTAAAACAAAGGATCAAAGGACTAAATTCTAGAGTCTACTCTGTCTTTGCACAAATGACTAAGAAGCAAACCAAAGTTCACCTAAATGCAGACGGCATTTCTGGATTTTTTCCCCGGTCTTAAAAAAAAAAAACGCCCTGCAATTGACAGAGTAAGGGCTGCGGAATCTAATAAAATGTATTTTCTCAGAAAGCAAATATGCTATTAGACATTTCTGGAGTGAGGTAAGTTCCATGCAGATAAATTCTTAGTTTAAAACTTTAAACTGATGATACAGTACAAAACTTCTCTTTCCTGGAGTAGAGAGTCTATCAGGGTTATCAGTCTGCACACATGAAAAAAAATTACAAGTTTCTTAAGTGCAGGGAATGCTTTTTCATCATGATTCCCTGTAATGCCTAGCACAGAGCAACACTTAACATATATTCAATTATGTTTGAACCAAAAAATCCAAAGTTAATTATCTTAAGTTGCAATTCAATGCAATCCTTATTATAACATCTTGCTTTTTACAATAATTACTGGTGACAAGTTTGTTTCCCTGACAAGAACACAAAATCCTTGAGGCAGAGGTTGTTGGTTTTTTTTGTTTTTTTTTAATGTTTTGATTGATTATAGAGAGAAAGGGAGAGAGAGGGATTGAAAGATAGAAACATTGATGAGAGAGAAACATCATCAATTGGCTGCCCTCTGTAAACCTCCTACTAGGGATCATCAAGCCCACAATCCAGGCCACACCGGGAATTGAACCAGTGACCTCTTGGTTTTTGGTTCATGGGTCAAGGCAAGGGTTTTATATTAAGTGTCCCTTGGGGTCTAGCACAATAGGAGCTCAATAAATGCTGGCTGAACATTACAAACTTAATGTTTAAAGTAGAACTTAAAATGGCCTCTCAATTATAAAGCACTGGATATTATGAAATGCTATTATATTTCTGAAACAGTCCTGTATTTTGATACAAACAAAGCCCTGAAAAATTAGTAAGCCAGTGCATGAAGTACTAAGTATAATCAAAGCGTAAGCTAGCTAGAAGGAATCTGAGCGATCATGTTCAATACACAAGTGAGGAAACAGAGACCCAGAGAGATTTAAGTGAATTGCCCAAGATCACAGAATTTAAGTAACAAGCAATCCAAGGCTAGAACCAGGTCTTCTGAATACTGGCCCAGTTTTCTTTCCACAAAGAAATACTTTACGAGTTCAGGATGAAGTGGATACTTTTAGAAATATTTTTTAAAATTCTGGTATGGAGAATCTTTCCCAGAACATATTTTTGTGTTTGTTTTTAATTTATCTTTATTGTTGAAAGTATTACAGATGTCCCCTTTTTCTCCCCATTGACCCCCTCCTCCCTACCCTCGCCTCCCCCCAAATAACATGTTTTTGTAAAGTATCACATTAACATTAGATAAATGAAAGCTGCCTTGTTCCTATACTGCAGGTAACACCATCTCCTTTCCCCCCCTTTTTGCTCTACATATGTATTTTTCATTTCCATGTCTTTCTTTTTCATTGTCAGATCCTAAGAATTCTTCCTTTTATCATCTCGTTTATCTACTTTCCTCTTACTTATTCCTTTTCCTTGTATCTCACACAATGCACCCTACCATCTCCTTCTTTTCTCTCCATAATTATAAAAAGGAACAGATTAAGTACACATTTAATTATAGCACTGACCTGGGACACCATAATAAGCAAATCACAGTACTTGATCTCTCAGAATTTATAGGGTAATTAGTTAACAAAAAATAAACACAAAGGGTCACATAGATGAGTGAATAATAAACATTGATGTTTACAGTGGTGACAAGAGTCTAAGTATGGATGGAACATTTATGCGAAGGGAACTAGTAATGATAATGACAACAAGTAGTAGCAAGGTAAAGGTTAGGCAAATACAAGGGACCACTTCCTTCCTACTCAGCTTTCTCATCCACCAACTCATCTGCTTTACTTCACTCACTCAGTATTTTCTTATAGCTTTATCTTTTTCTATGCTCTAGTTTTTATTTTAATCCAATAATCTTCCTTTTCTATCTTCTGATCTTTTAAAGTGAATCTGTCCTATCCTCATGTTTTCCTTTTTAATATTGCCAACTTCTTCTACCTTGTAGATCTAGATAATGTCTTAAGTTATAAACTCATTTTTTCCTAAAGATTTAATGTATTATTTTATTTGATCCTCACAATGCCAGGGAGGCAGGTAAGAAGCAATAAATCTTTTTTACAGATATAAACTGAGTCCCAGCAAGATTAAATAATTTGTTAAGTCAGTTTGTCAGTGGAAAAATCAAGTAAGAACTCAGACCTTGCCCTGGCTGGTTTGGCTCAGTGGATAGAGCGTGCACACCTTGGGTGCAGGCTCCTCCCCAGCCCGGCCCTATTCGGCGCATGTGAGAGGCAACCAATTGATGTATTTCTCTCACATCGATGTTTCTGTCTGCCTCTTCCTTCCACTCCCTCTAAAAATCAATGGAAAAATATCCTCCGGTGAGGCTTGAAAAAAACAAAACAACCCAGACCTCTTCTTTCCAAGTCCTCCATTCTTTTCCCACTGCACATGTTGCCTTCCTTTTAATTCTTACACTTTTTTACCATATACATGCACATGCCTAGACAAGTATAACCATTTACAAAGCAGCACAAAAGGGAAAAGTGTGTATGTATCTAAGGAAGCCAGAAAAACAGAAAAGTCAGAGGACCCATATTAAGAGCACAGTGTAGCTCACATGATAATTCTCATAGAGAAGGCTTTGAGTTTCCAGATCTAGGTAGAAACTGCCTATTTCTTCAACTAACTGATGCAGGCAGCATCAATAGTGCTCTCTCTCCATACCTCCCACAGCAGTTACATGACCAAGGTTCACCCTCTGCACCATTCCTGTGCCACAACCTCTCTCACAGGCATGCCACCATACCTGAAGTTCTCACCGTTCAAGTCAGGAGTCAATTCCTTGGGTTAAGGCGTTGTCTCCAGAATGCCACTGTTAAATGCATGTTACCTGAGAGGGGAAGAAGGGCCCATTAACACATTGCTTCTATGGTTAAATGCATCAAATTAGCAATGACCTTGGGAATCAGACAGTATAAGTTATTTTTAAGTTTCATTGGACAGAGAATTTTTTTTTGTTTTGTTTTTTAAATGTTTTACTGATTTTTAGAGGGAGAAAAAGGGAAAAGGGATAGAGAGATAGAAACATCAATGAAAGAGAAACATCATCTATCGACTGCCTCCTACATGCCCCCTACTGGGGATCGAGCCAATAATCAGGGCATTGGTCCTGATCGGGAATCAAACTGGTGACCACTTAGTTGATGGGTTGATGCTCAAGCACTGGGCCACACTGGCCAGGTTGGATAGAGAATTGTTGATGGGGCAGGCAGGATAAGAAGGTGAGTAGCTGAAAATGCCTCATACATAGTATGGGATAATGCCCCTCTATGTACAATAGCTACATGGCAAAATGAGAATAGCCATATAAACACATATTCTACCTACTGGAGTCATTATAAGGACAGTCCCTGCAATTTGAAGATTTCTAGGGATAGAAAAAGAAAACACTCCAAGGATCTTTCCAGTTCTGAAAAGAAGCAAAAGAGCTGAGCTGGCAGCAGTTTTCCAAGGACAGTGCACTGCTAGACTGAAGAAAGATAGAGGCAGGAACAGCTTCTGGTTAACTATGTACTTCTAGTTATGAAGCTTGTATCCAGCATTTTTAGCTGAGGGCCAACCTCCCAGCCAGAGAATACTGCAATTCAATTCCACACTCCCCACCTTGCTAATTTATATCGACTCAAAGCCAGTATCATTTACAGTCACAAAAATCAACATATCTTTACTGAGCGCTTATTATGAGCCCAGAATTTGGCTAGGTGCTATAAATACAGAAAAAAACACACAACACTTTATACACTTTTGCCTTAACTCATATAAAGGAAACCAATCCCCAAAACCCAAAATTGAGAGAGAAGAGAAACAAGAAAGGAAGTAACAACCCAAAACAACAACAACAACAGGTAACTATTTCTTATCAGTACAGACACAAACTTCTTAAGCCAGAATGAAAACAAAACTTACTTCTAGGCCAGAGTTCCTTGTTAAACTCTTGCCTAAATAGTCAAGAGGCACAGATTAGAAAACCCTTTTTTCTTTTTTTTCCTTTTGGCCTAATACTAAAAGCTCTTTAGTAGCATACATCCATCTTGGTACATTTTGGAGAACCACCGATTAAGAGCTACAAAACTTGGTTCTAGTCCTAACTCTTAACTAGTTTTATTTAGGTAAATGATTTAACCTGCTTAGGACTTTCTTCAAAAACAAACAGAAAACGAAGAGAATGAACTAAGAATAGTATATGCTTGTCACATATACCTCTCACTGGAGAACTAATGTCTACAGGAGGCATCACCATCAATCATAACTCACTTTCCCAGAGAACATATAAGACCAAAATCCTCTTCAACACATTGCTTCTAGAAGCTACTTCAAAGTGGAGTTGGCCAATAAACCAAAATATATTTGCCACTGTGGACTAGATAATCTCTGCAATCTCTTCCAACTCTAAATTTTTAATACCAAGTTTATGAGGGTGGAAGAAAAACACTTTCAAAGGGCTTACATTAATAACGTTGACAGTTAGCCCTAGCCGGTTTGGCTCAGTGGATAGAGTGTTGGCCTGCAGACCACAGGGTCCCGGGTTCGATTCCAGTCAAGAGCACATACCTTGGCTGCAGGCTCCTCCCTGGCCTGGGCCCTGGTGGGGGCTCATGCAGGAGGCAACCAACTGATGTGTTTCTCTCAGACTGATGTTTCCCTCTTTCTAAAAATCAGTGGAAAAATATCCTCGGGTGAGGATCAACAACAAAAATAATAATGTTGACAGTTATGTATTTCAGTCTAATCTCCCAAGTTCTCCTCCAAATTGAACCCCATCTGGTTCTAATTTTTGAAAGATGCTAATGAACAATCAGTCTGATACTATTAACATATATAGCCTGGCAATACTATTCAGATTTGCTAATGGGTTCTTTTGACAGGAAAGGAGCCCTTTACCAAGACTGGCCCTAAAACATTCTCATCTAAAAGTATGTCAACAATATTGACCTGAAGGCCTTAAATCTTAGACATCTGGGCCCCACCCCCAGAGCTTCTAATTCAACAGATTTGGGATGGGATCCAACAATTTGCATTTCTTCTTTAAAAAAAATTATTTTTTATTGATTTCAGAGAGGACGGGGTAGGAAGAGAGAAACAGAAACAACAATGATGAGAGAGAATCATTGATTGGCTGCCTCCTGCACGCCCCCTATTGGAGATAAAACCCAAAACCAGAGTAAGTGCCCTGGACCGGAATCCAACCATGACCCCCTGGTAAAGAACGAAGCCCAATCCCTTGATCATCCCCCCACAGCCTCTCTCCAAGGTCAAGCCTCTTCACTTCTCACCTAGACCTCTGCAATAGCCATTCTCCCATTCTTTCACTTATCAGAGCAATCTTTCTAAAGCACATATGACCTCATATATCACTTACCTGTTTAAAAATTGATATTTATTGCTAACAATATAAAACAAGTTTTTAAACATTATACTTAGAACTTTTTATAATTGCCTCCTTTTACCTTTCTGGCCTCACATCCCATAATGCTCTCCTTCCCCATCCCACTCTCTGTTCCCTGAACCTTTTTTCTTCCACAATTCTCTGCATTCACACAGAGCATTAAGGTCTTTCCTCTGCCTGCCCTCTTCCTTTTCCCCATCCCTTCACACTCCCACTTATCATCCAAGACCCATATTAGGCACAGGGGCAGGTCCTGCATCTCTCTCTGGCCAACCCTCAAACAGACTGGTCACTTCCTCTCCTAAGTCAAAGCCTTTTGAGCTGTTCTTGGTATGTCCACAGTATTGTTTGCCTCTGTGGTCCCCAAAACCATCAGAAGTGCCGGGGGCATGTTTTAAAAGTAAATTCTTCAGGTCCAACCCAGAGGTGCTAAATCAATCTCAGGAGATGAGACCCTGGAATTCCTACTTTTAAAAAGTTCCCCTAATTATCCTAATGGTCAAATTTGGAGGCTAGTTTGTCTCTCCCAGTAGGTGTAAAGATTTTTTTTTAAAGAAATGTAGAAATGATTTATACCAGAATACACCGCACAAGTATTCTGCACTTGTATTTTTTATTTCATATCATATTCCTGTTGACTTGCCTCATGCCGATGATGAAGGAATTCCTTTTGGACTCACACCCCCAAAACTAACATTCATTGTTCCAAAAACGTTGGATTTATTTCCACCTTCATATCTAAATCTTAAAAATGAAGTAACTGTACCTTGAGTAGAGCCATGAGTACACACAGTGCAGGCTCTCTCACCGGATCTGCCATGAGAACTTTCTTTCAGCTGAGTAATAAGCCCTTAGCCGATTTCAAGGTGGAAATACACGCTGCTTGTACATACTTCCGTAAGGCTAATTTGCATTAGGAATAATGACGGGGACCCCTCCCCCCAATTAAGTATAATGATAGGAAGCTGACTCCAGTGCCTCCGGAATTTTTCCACTCTTCCTTCCCCACCCCTCACTCCCCCCCAAAAAAGTAAACTGAAACTGTAGAATCCTGTCAGAAAATGTAACCAGATTAAGACACAAGATAACCAAGAAAACAAGGTGAGTGGTTCCCGGGGCAGCATGACTGTCGGGTGGCAGGCAAGTGCCCCCGGTTACATCTCTCATCTCAGGCTCACCCTCGGGACGCAGACCCCGTGTCTCTCTCTCTCTAAATCGCGGCTCGGAACCCAGTCTGAACATCTGAGTCCCTCACCCAGTCACGAACTCATCGTGTTTCGACCCTCAGAAGACGCTCACGCCTACTTTTTTTCTTTTCTCTACCGAAGACAAGGGCACTCACTCTCAGGAGGGAGGACAGTGACAATTCCACGTCTGCAAAACTTAGCGCCGGCGGGGCCGCGGCAGCAGCCGGCACCAAGGAGGCGCCCGGCCGGGACCACCACGCCGAGGGACAATGGAGGGAGGCGAGGGAGAGTGAGAAGGGGAAGCAGCCGCTGGGCTGGGCCCCCCTCGCGACTGGGGGCTCCAGAAAGTCTCGGGAAGGCCAGCCGGGTGGCAGGTGGGCCCAGCCACCGCCCCTTAAAGGGCCACGTCGCCCGCGCTGGCCGCTGCCGCCGGGCCCCGCGCAAAGGCCGGGCCGCGAGAAGGTGGCCCCGGGCAGGGCTGAGGGGCGCGGGGCCGGACCCTGACGGTTCTCGCCGCGGCCCAGGCTTCCCATAACTTGGCGCCCGCGAGGCGAGACGCTCCGGGCGCCTCACCCCGAAAGTGGCCCTTGAGCGCATCGGGGCCGTCCCACCCCCCATCCGGCCGCAGCCACTAGCCCGAGCTCCCCGCGCCCCCACAGGCACCGGCTCCGAGGGGAGAGGGAGCAGTCGCGGCTCTGGGTCCTGGCTTGCGCGTCACACTCCTCCACCCCTCGTTCTCCTCGGACATTCATCTCCCTTCTCCCCCAGAACTGTCCCCAACCCGCCAGCTGGTGTTTACCGGGACTCGGGGCGGCGGCGACTCTTCAGTCCCTCGACTAAGATGGCAGCCGGTCCCGAGTCCGGACCACAGCAACTAGAGCGAGTTGGCGGCCAATGCGCAGGCGCCTGCGGCTCGGGAGCGGTCTGCACTACAATCCCCAGAAGGCCCTGCGCGAGCCAGCAGCCTGCCAGGACTGGCAGAGACTGGTGAGCACCACTGGATTGGTTTTCTCGCCCCCAGGAGAGAGGGATTCTTGGATTGCTTCCAGCACCTCTAGGCTTTTATTTTTTAACACCCCTCACACACATACACACCAGGACCTCTACGGACTGCAGCTATGATACCCAAACTGTAGTGTAAATCAGAATCACCTGAACGACTTAAATCTCAGCCATCTGGGCCCCACCCCCAGAGCTTCTAATTCAGCAGATTTGGGATGCAATAATTTGCATTTCTTTAAAAAAATATATTTTTTTAAATTTATTTCAGAGAGGAAGGGGTAGGGAGAGAGAAATAGAAACAACAATGATGAGAGAGAATCATTGATTGGCTGCCTTCTGCACGCCCCCTGTTGGAGATCAAACCCAAAACCAGAGCATGTGCCCTGGACCTGAATCCAACCATGACCTCCTGGCTCATAGGTCAAGGTTCAACCACTGGGCCGCACTGGCCAGGCAGTAATTTGCTTTTCTAACAAGCTCTCTGGTGTGCTCTGGTGGTGGATTAGATTTGAAGAACCACTAGATTATAGCTTAGTCCTTACAAAAGTACACTCCGGAGTTAATATTGATTGGCTTCAAATCCACCTTTATCATGGTCCGCTTAGGCATGATAAAAATAGCTTACCCATAAGTGGTGCCAACCTGGAAGGTGTTCTAAGAGCTGATCAATAAGCTTCTTCAATTCTCACAACAAACCTAGGAGGGAAGTACCTTCATTATCCTCAGTTTACAGATGCATAAATCAGGTAGTCTGGCTTTAGAGTCCATCCTCAACTTCCTTCATGGGTTCTTTCTGAAAATGAATAGGCTGTGCAAGTAGACTCAGAGACACAACTAAATGCTTAGTAATCAGTGACCTTTGTTATTGTTGTTTAGCATGTTTCCTCCATCTGGAAAGACACTCACACTTTTCAAAGTACTTTAAAATCCTCCATGTCAATGTTTCCTGAAACGTGTCTTTAGGAGAGCTTGTTAAAGATACAGATTCTTGGCTCAGTGATTGAGCGTGGACCTATGAACCAAGGGGTCACTGGTTCGATTCCCAGTCAGGGCACATGCCCGGGTTTAGTGCTTGATCCCCAGTAGGGGACATGCAGGAGGCAGCCAATCGATGTTGATGTTTCTCTCTCATCAATGTTTCTATCTCTCTATCCCTCTTCTTTCCACTCTTTCTTTAAAAATCAATTAAAACCATATTTTAAAAAGAGATTCCTGGACCTCTATCACATTCGATTCTCTTGGGCAGTGGTTTTCAAACTTTAGTGCCCATCAGAATTACCTAGAGGATTTTATTAAACCTTAGATTGCTGGGCTCCACCCATAATTTCCCATTCAGTAGGTCCCCCTAGAACAGTGGTTCTCAACCTTCTGGCCCTTTAAATACAGTTCTTCATGTTGTGACCCAACCATAAAATGATTTTCGTTGCTACTTCATAACTGTAATGTTACTACTGTTATGAATCATAATGTAAATATCTGATATGCAGGATGGTCTTAGGCGACCCCTGTGAAAGGGTCGTTCGACCGCCAAAGGGGTCGCGACCCACAGGTTGAGAACCACTGCCCTAGAATGAGCCTGAAAATATACATTTTTAATCAAGGACCACATTTGGAGAATCACTGCTGTAGGGCACTGTTTCTCGACTTTTTTTTTCCAATTACAGTTTACATTCAATGTTATTTTGTATTACTTCCAGGTGTACAGCATTGTGGTTAGACAATCATATACTTTACAAAGTGGTGTCCTGTCCCTTCCCTCCATATTTCAAGTACCCACATGACAACATACATAATTATTACAATATCCCCTATGCTGTACTTTACATCCCTGTGACTATTTTGTAACTACCAATTTGTACTTCTTTATTTATTGATTTTTTTTTTTTTAAGGAGAGAGAGAGAGAGAGAGAGATCGATCTGTTCTTCTGCTTATTTATACATTCATTGGTTGATTCTTGTATGTGCCCTGACCAGAGATTGAACCCAAAACCTTGGTGTATCAGGACGATGCTGTAAACAACTGAGCCAGCAAGCCACAGGGGATTGAACCTGCAACCTTGGTTTACCTGGACAATGCTCTAACCCCGTGGTCGGCAAACTGCGGCTCTCGAACCACATGCAGCTCTTTGGCCCCTTGAGTGTGGCTCTTCCACAAAATACCACGTGCGGGTGCGCACATACAGAGCAATTGAAACTTCGTGGCCCCTGCGCAGAAGTCAGTATTTTGTCTAATAGAGTCTAACCAATTGTGCTAAAGGTCATAACTTGTACTTCTTTTTTTTGGGGGGGGGGGTGTTTACTTTCCATTATCCATGCCACTTTTGTGCTTCTTATGAGGGTGGGGAGATCAAGACTTTTTTAAAATATATTTTTATTTATTTCAGAGGAAGGGAGAGGGAGAGAGAGATAGAAACATCAATGATGACAGAATCATTGATCAGCTGCTTCCTGCACACTCCCTACTGGGGATTGAGCCCACAACCAAGGCATATGCCCTTGGCCAGAATCGAACCCGGGACTCTTCAGTCCATAGGCTGATGCTCTATCCACTGAGCCAAACTGGCTAGGGCAATTTGTACTTCTTAATTCCTTCACCTTTTTCACCCATGCCTCCAACCCCTACCCCCTCTGGCAACCATCAGTCTGTTCTCTGTGTCTATGAGTCTGTTTCATTTTGGTTCATTTATTTTACTCTTTAGATTCCATATATAAGTGAAATCATATGGTATATGTCTTCTCTGGCTGCCTTATTTCACTTAGCATAATATTCTCTAGGTTCATCCATGCTGTTCCAAGGAGTAATATTTCATTCTTTTTATGACCAAGTAATATTCTATTGTATATGTACACCACAACTTTTTTATGCATTCATCTATTGATGGGCACCTGAATTGCTTCAGTATCTAGGCTATCGATATATATAAAAAGCCAGCGATGTAAAACTGGTCATTCTGTAACGACCAGAATGACCAGTTGCTATGACGCCCACTGCGGCCAGTGAACTGGCAGACCTCCTGTGGCCCCACTCCCTGGCCAGCCCTGCCTCCTATTGGCCCTCACCACTCCGATAGGCCTGCAGCCCCTACCCCCAGCCAGCTCTGCCTCCGATCGGCACCCCCCCGCCCCACTCCGATCAGGGGCAGGGCCGACCAGCCAACTGCCTGCAGCCCCGCCCCCCGGCCTGCCTAGCCCTGATTGGGCCCCAATCAGGGTGAGCTGGCCGGCCAACCTCCTGCTGTCTCCTCCTCCTGACAGGCCCAGCCCCAATCCACTCTGATTGGTGGCGGGCTGGCTGGACCCCACCCGTGCACAAATTCGTGCACTGGGCCTCTAGCTGTAAATAATGCTGCAATAAACATAGGGATGTATATATTCTTTCAAGTTAGTGTTTTGGGGGTTTTTTCTGCTATGTACCCAGAAGTGGAATCAATGGGTCATAAGGCAGTTCAATTTCTTAATTATTTTGAGGGCCCTCCATGCTGCTTTCCATAGTGGCTGCACCAACCTGCATTCCCACCAACAGTGCATGAGGGATCCCTTTTCTCCACATTTTCAACATTTGTTTGTGGATTTATGGATGATAGCCATTCTGACAAATGTGCAACTTTTTTTTAATCATCTAAGGAAAAATTTTAGACACTTATTTTCCCTAATCATTCCCCTCATGATATTTTAATATCACAAATACACTGTATATCTATTGATGTACCATATGCATACCTGTGCTTTTACATTAAAAAGTTTTTACAATTTCCTCTCCACCTCCAACCAAGTTTTGTCCCATTAAGAATATATTCTTGCCCTAATCAGTTTGGCTCAATGGATAGAGCGTCGACCTGTGGACTCAGGGGTCCCAGGTTCGATTCCGGTCAAGGGTATGTACCTTGGTTGCGGGCACATACCCAGTAGGGAGTGTGCAGGAGGCAGCTGATCGATGTTTCTCTCTCATCGATGTTTCTCTCTATCCCTCTCCCTTCTTCTCTGTAAAAAATCAGTAAAATAAATTTTTTAAAAAAAGAATGTATTCTCAAAGCAGGTGTAGCCATACTTATATCTGACAAAGTAGATTTCGAGATAAAAAAGATAACAAGTGCTCAGCTAGTGTTGCTCAGTGGTTGAGTTTCAACCCATGAACCAGGAGCTCATGATTGGATCCCCGGTCAGGACACATGCCCAGATTTCGGGCTCAATCCCCAGTAGGAGGTAGCCGATCAATGATTCTCTCTCATCATTGATTGATGTTTCTATTTCTCTCCCTTCCTCTTTGAAATCAATAAATACTAGTATAATTTTTTAAAAAAGATAACAAGAAACAAAGATGCACATTTTATAATGATAAAGGGGACATACATCAGGAAGACATAACACATCAATATATATCTATCCAATCAGAGAGCACCAAAATATATAAAGCAACTACTAACAGAGCTAAAGAAGAAACGGACAAAAACACAATTATAGCAGGGGACCTACATATGGTATTGACAGCTATGGATAGGTCATCCAAAGAGAAAATCAATAAGAAAATATAGGCCTTGCTCTGGTTAGTTACCTCAGTTGGTTTGAGCATCGTCCTGATACACCAAGGTTGCAGGTTCAATCCCCAGTCAGGTCACATACAAGAACCAACCAATGAATGCATAAATAAGTAGAATAACAAATCAATCTTTCTCTCTCTGTCTTCCTCCCCCTCCCCTCAAATCAATAAATTAAATTAAATAAATAATGGCCTTAAATAACACTTTAGAACAAATGGACATAATTAACATTTACAGAGCCTTTAATCCCAGAACACCAGATTATACATTCTTCTCCAGTGAATATGGAACATCCTTAAGGATAGACCATATGTTGGGATACAAAACTAGCCTCAACAAATTTAA